GGTTACAAAAGTATCTCCAAAAGCCTTGATGTTCATGTGTCCACGGTAAACACAGACTGTCTACAAATGGAGAAAGTTTAGCACTGTTGCTACTCTCCCTAGGCATGGTCGTCCTGTAAAAATGACTGCAAGAGCACAGCGCAGAATGCTGCATGAGGTAAACAAGAATCCCAGAGTGTCAGCTAAAGACCTACAGAAATCTCTGGCACATGCTAACATTTTTGTTGACACATCTACAATAAGGAAAACATTAAACAAGAATGGAGTACATGGGAGGACACCACGGAGGAAGCCATTGCTGTCCAAAAAAAGAATATTGCAGCACATTTGAAGTTTGCAAAAGAGCACCTGGATGTTCCACAGCACTACTGGCAAAATATACTGTGGACAGATGAAACCAAGATTGAGTTGTTTGGGAAGAACACACAACACTATGTGTGGAGAAAAAAAGGCACAGCACACCAACATCAAAACCTCATCCCCACTGTAAAACATGGCGGAGGGAGCATCATGGTTTGGGGCTGCTTTGCTGCCTCAGGGCCTGGACGGATTGTTGTCATTGATGGGAAAATGAATTCCAGAGTTTATCAAGACATTTTTCAGGAAAACGTACGACCATCTGTCCGCCAACTGAAGCTCCGCAGAGGATGGATGATGCAACAGGACAATGACCCAAAGCATACAAGTAATTCAACAAAACAATGGCTGCAACAGCACAGAATACGCCTTCTGGAGTGGCCCAGTCAGAGTCCTGACCTCAACCCGATTGAAATGCTGTGGCATGAAATTAAGGGAGCGATTCACACCAGACATCCTAAGAATATTGCTACACTGAAACAGTTTTGTGAAGAGGAGTGGTCCAAAATTACTCCAGATCGTTGTGCAGGTCTGATCTGCAACTACAGGAAATGTTTCGTTGAGGTTATTGCTGCCAAAGGAGGGTCAACCTTTTACTAAGTCCAAAGGTTCACATACTTTTTTCCTCCCTGCACTGTGAATGTTTACATGTTATGTGCAATTAAACCATGGCAACATCTAATGTTTGTGTAGTATTATGTTCAGCAGACTGTGTTCTTCTATTGTTGTGACTTAGATGACGTTCAGAGCATATTTTATGCCCAATTCATGCAAAACTCCACGGAATCCCAAGGGGTTCACATACTTTTTCTTGCAACTGTAGTTTGAGCATGGCTTTACTTGACAGGAGATGTTCACAACACATATTGTACATTCCATTAAAATAATCACCTGCATATTTGACTATCATAGTATTCTTGGCCCTGGACAGAAGCTGTTGAGTCTGTCAGTTTATCTATCAGATGTAACGCTGTCAAATTATCCAGTGGTAGACTTCTGGTGAAAATGTGATTCAATGAGCCAGCCATGTGAAATGATTTCTCTTGGCTTCTGTGGACAAATCACCATAATCACATGAGATGTACAAGAAGAAAGAAATAACATAGGCAGAAAAAGGAACAACAAAAGTAAAAATGCATATAGGAGACCTATCTGCCCAGATATAAAAAGGCAAGTTAAATAGAGCAAAGGTTATAAAGAAAAAAAAAATTAAACCTTATTACAAAAACTTAAATGTTGTAAATAGATTATATGGAGGACTAGCATTGCACAGGATAAGAAATAAGTGCAGAAGATGCGGCCATCTTGAGCTTGAGCTTAACGCTTTAACAGTAAAGCAAAGTAATAACTCATGATACATAAATGGCAGGTTCAGGTAGGCTGAATAGCAAACCAGCTTTCTAATATCTGACAGCATGCTCTCAGCGCAGAGTTTCCAGCTCTGCAGCCATTACATCTGGCTTTTACTACTATCACTGGAATCTCGATTTATCTTATATTACAGACAATGCAAATGGAGAAGTAAGACACCCCTCACTCAGCCTCATAATGATGCAGCAAAGGACAAAGCAGGATATCTAAAAGGGAAAGGACACCAAAGGGGTCTTGAAGCAGGTGGCTGAAAATGGCAACCAGTATGTAACAGTGACTAACAAATCACTTTTAGGAGGACCATTTAAAAAGTACAAAATAGAAGGAAGTCTCCCAAAGCCACCTAAACCTGACATATTTTAAAGCTACCCATGCAATGTTTGTAAAAAATATAATAAGACCAAATATATGCAAAATTATAGAGATTAAATGGTAGCTGTTGCCCTAATGGTATATGTTCCCCATGTACCATACATTAGACGTTAATATGATCAAAAGGCTGCGCTTACCCTAATAAATTATAATTGTAGCGCAAATCTCAATAGCAATAAATTTATCATTGTGTAAACAATCAAAATTCAAATGTCCTTTGAAGTATCCTTGTAAATGCAAAATGAATGTGCCAGTGCAATAACAGTGTCCAATTAAAGTGCATACATATGTGCCACAAATCTTCTTCAAAATAAAGTGATCCGTGCAAATTAACTCCACTCCTCCAACCTAGTGCAATCATCTGTGTCCCTTTCAGGGACCGATCTCATCAGAGGTTATTGACCGCCTAAGTGTACACCAAGGAAATATCAATATGTGCTTTCACATTGTCCCAGTATTATATTCTTCTCCTTATAGCCAGGTATCCCAAATAAGTAGAGAGGAAGCCAGGGAAAACTTCATAGGGTTTTACCATTTAATTAAAACTTCAAAAAATAAAAAACAGAAAATACACTCACATATTTCAGTGCCCTATCCAGCACCCAGAACTGTCTGCCAAAAGCTTTCTATGGGAATGCCACCGCTCTTTGCAGCCCGGAGCTGGTCTGCATTCCAAATGGTGGAAGTAGCGTGACCGGAAGTTCATGCCCCCTACACATTTCATCACATCAGAGGCATCCTCAGAAGGCGTGGCCTCCACCATGTCTACAGCCATATATACAGTATTTCACAGAAGTGAGTCCAACCCTCACATTTTTGTAAATATTTTATTATAATCTTTTCATGTGACAACACTGAAGAAATGACACTTTACTACAATGTAAAGTAGTGAGTGTACAGCTCGTATAACAGTGCAAATTTGCTGTCCCCTCAAAATAACTCAACACACAGCCATTAATGTCTAAACCGCTGGCAACAAAAGTGAGTACACCCCTAAGTGAAAATGTCCAAATTGGGCACAAAGTGTCAATATTTTGTATGGCCACCATTAATTTTCCAGCACTGCCTTTAACCCTCTTGGGCATGGAGTTCACCAGAGCTTCACAGGTTACCGCTGGAGTCCACTTTCACTCCTCCATGACGACATCAGAGACCTTGTGCTCCTTCACCTCCCATTTGAGGATGCCCCACAGATGCTCAATAGGGTTTAGGTCTGGAGACATGCTTGGCCAGTCCATCACCTTTACCCTCAGCTTCTTTAGCAAGGCAGTGGTCGTCTTGGAGGTGTGTTTGGGGTCTTTATGTTGGAATACTGCCCTGCGGCCCAGTCTCCGAAGGGAGGGGATCATGCTCTGCTTCAGTATCTCACAGTACATGTTGGTATTAATGGTTCCTTCAATGAACTGTAGCTCCCCAGTGCTGGCAGTACTCATGCAGCCCCAGACCATGACACTCCCACCACCATGCTTGACTGTAGGCAAGACACACTTGTCTTTGTACTAATCACCTGGTTGCCGCCACACACGCTTGACACCATCTGAACCAAATAAGTTTATCTTGGTGTCATCAGACCACAGGACATGGTTCCAGTAATCCATGTCCTTAGTCTGCTTGTCTTCAGCAAACTGTTTGCAGGCTTTCTTGTACATCATCTTTAGAAGAGGCTTCCATCACTTTTGGATGGATGGACTCCTGATTGCTGCATCTGTCTTTTAAGGTGGATCTCTTAAGTGCTTTTATTTGCTATACACATACTTGGAGTGGAGCTTTCCATGGAGTCCGGAGAGTAGCAGTGGATGATCAGCTGATGTGTGGACGTATGCCAGATGATGCCTGTGGTTACCCTAGGACGATGACCAGGAGTGGTCTGAGTTACTCAAAGGCGCTTTATATTGCGCTGGTTAGTGCAATATATTCTCATTTCCACAACTCACTTGGAGCACGTTTTTCACCAATCTGTTTATTGGACTTTTTATTATCACCTACGCACCATTTGCGCCATAACCAGACGCAATCTATATACTCACTGTCGCGCCAATTAGCGCACTCATATATCATTATTTGGTACTGTATACAGCCTGGCAGCCTAAAACGCTAGTTTATTAATATTTGGGGTTTGCATATGAACGTTTATATAAACGCATTCACTTTGATTTATATATATATATATATATATATATCATTATGTCTGTTTAGAGCGCTGCATTTCTATTTATTTTTAACATTAAAATACTACCTCCAATATTCCTTGGCTCTATCTAGTGGTCTAAATGTACAATTACATCTGCTACCTCTTAAATGTATATTAATGTGTCTCCAACTTGTAGTGCCAATTTATATAGCCACTAAAACTGCTCGATCAAATATTTTCCTATTACATCAATTATTGCATAATTTATTCAGAGTGAGCGCAGCCTTTTGATCATATTAACAGACATTCAAACTTGAGGCTGCCAAGCTAGTGAACAATTCTGGTCTTCTTTTAAACCGAATTTCAGAAATAATGAATACAAAACAAAATAAATAAAAGAAGAAGGGTAGATCCAGAAACAGTAGTTGGCAATACCTGTGGGGGACCTCAATTAATTGCCTGTTGGTGAAAAAAAAAAACCTAAAAACTTGTACATCATATTCCTTGTTTCTTCGATCAAAAAGAAAAATAAATTAATTATCAACATGCAAACTTCAGTGGATTTAGGAATCAGGTGAGGTCCTTCAGATATACAGTATACCATTGTTCAACATTTTTTTTTTAAGACAATCAAAACACATACACTGAAAAGTTAAAATCAGGCCCGCATTTACCTGTATCCGGTGCTCTGGTAACCACAGTACTGGTCGCAATTAAAGGGAGTCACAGCACTTAGGATGAACCCTGCCTTTGCTGCCATAGCCACTATTTGCCAGCTATTGTGCCACTCCCTCCTGGGCTCATCAGCAGGGGTGCCACCTTGTCCTTGGCACAAAGACACATGAATATCTCCTTTCTGATCAAGGACTTCCACACAGCTATATAACAAATAACAATGTGTAGTTAGTGTATTTTTTATGTACTTAAATACAATCTCACTATAGTTAAACAAAAAATAAACCTTGACATGTCCATATCAGCCTTTTGTGATTTTACACAATGCCATGAGAGCCCCTGACCTTATGGCTCTTAATATGCAAACATCTATTATTTCTAGTTTGGAAAAGTTAGTGCTTCAGCATGCCCTTCTTCAATTCAAATCTCCATTGGTTATTAAAGCTCAGAGGTTTGCATTGAGGGAAATGTAGAGCAGAAGACAGTATCAGTGCTCCAGTTTCAGAGCTAAAGTCCTTTGCACTATGAGATCCGTGTGTGCAGGGATTTTTGGCGTGCTATAAAAACAGGTACTTTCAGACATCCATAATAGTCTGTTTTCAGCATTTGTAATATGAATTTTTTTCTGAAATAACAGGTTTATTTTAACTACCTCCAGCCCGCCATATAAGAAAATGACGGATGGGCGGTGGTTCTCTAACTGCACGTGCGCGCCCCTGGGGGCGCACAGCGTGACGATCGGTGGTGCAAACCAATCAGCGGAAAGAGCCGATGCCTTTGGCTCTGTCATGTGATCAGCTGTATCCAATCACAGCTGATTGCATGTAAATAAGGAAATGCCAGTTATCGGCAGTCCTCTCCTCACGAGCTATCACACTAACAGCTCGTGAGGAGAGGAGAGCCGGTAATCGGCATTCCTCAGAGGGGACATCTACACTGATCATCAGGGCACTGATTATCAGTGCCCTGATGATCAGTGTAGCCCCATCAGTGCCACCTGTCAGTGCCCATCAGTGCACATCAATGCCACATATCAGTGCCTACCAGTGCACATCAATGCCACATATCAGTGCCCATCTGAGCTGCCTTTCAGTGCCAACTATCAGTGCCAGTCAGTGCTGCCTATGAGTGCTGCCAATCAGTGCCACTTATCAGTGCCAGTCAGTGCCGCCTAACAGTTCCAGTCAGTGCCACCTAAAAGTGCCAGTAAGAGTTGCCTATCAGTGCCATATATGTGTACTGCCTTTCAGTGCCCATCAGTGATGTCTGTCAATGCCCACCAGTGATACCTGTCAATGCCCATCAGTGCCACCTACCAGTGCCTCTTCATCAGTGTAGCCTATCAGTGCCCATCACTGCAGCCTCATTAGCGCACATCAGTGAAGGAGAAACATTACTCATTTACAAAATTTTATAACAGAAACTAAGAAAAAAAAATTTTTTTTTCAAAATTTTCAGTTGTTTTTGGTTTGTTTAGCAAAAAATAAAAAACCCGGAGGCAATTAAAATACCACCAAAAGAAAGCTTTATGTTTGTCAAACAAATGATAAAAATTTCATATGGGTAAAGTGTTGCATGACCACGCAATTGCCATTCAAACTGTGACAGCACTGAAAGCTGAAAATTGGCCTGGGCATAAGGGGGTGAAAGTGCCCAGTAGACAAGTGGTTAACATAAGTGCATAAAGTGCAGCACTAAAATATATATATAGCATCAAAGAATATTATAAAAACACCAAATACATATATACGCATTGGTAAAAAACAAGGGGAATCATAAATGTCAACGATAAACAAATATAGTTCATACAGTGTGTATTAATGCTACTCTAAGACACAGCAACAATGTGATAAAATATAGTCCAAATAGTGAACAAATTATGTGTCAGTGATACTGCAAAACACAACAGCAACGTGTCCGATTCCAAACAGTGCTAGAAGATCCAGTGAACACTCCGTCCATCACTATGCATTCACCAGAATGCTACTGGTATAGTAGCAATAATTGATGGTCAATCAAATACAATATTTAGAATCCTTAGTCAGAAAACTTTCTAGGAGAAAAGCTCACCACACAGAGCCCAGAAAGCGATTTATAGTGTAGTGGAAAAAATGTAAACATGTATGAATTCACATACCAAGATGGCCGCCACTCCGAATTTCAGACACGGCGGCGTGATGTCCGCACATAGGATCCACCAAACGCATTTTGTGCGCATGCACGTCCTCAGGGATATGCCCATTACAGATGTCAAGAGCAGACACCATTTACCATCTACTCTCGCCACCCCCCACCTCCACCCAGCACCTCACTCACCGCCCTTGAGATTGCCAATCACTTCAAAAACAAGATTGACACAATTCGCAAGGACATAACCGCAACTCACACGCCCTCTCAACCCGTCCCCTCTCACACAGCTACCCCCTCATCCCCCCTCTCCCTCGACATAACCCGCAGGGACTTCGTCGCTGCTCAAACTCCCTCCAACCCCGTTCCCCCTCACTCAGCTACCCCCTCATCACCCCTCTCCCACGGCCCCACCACTGCTCTGACCTCCACTTTCACCCCACCTTACATTCCTCATACTGAAGCCCCCCCAACACTCCGCACCTTTGACCTTACTACCATCGAGGAAGTCTCCAAGATCCTCTCTGATGCCCGCCTCACCACCTGCCCCCTCGACCCTATCCCCTCACAACTCCTACAACCTCCCTCTCTCTCCATCCTACGCTCCCTCACCCACATCTTTAATCTCTCCCTATCCTCCGGCACTTTCCCCTCCCCTCTGAAACATGCACACATCACCCCCATACTTAAAAAGCCCTCCCTGGACCCCAATGACCCGAACAACCTCAGACCCATCTCCCTGCTTCCATTTACATCCAAACTCCTCGAGCGCCTAGTCTACACCCGCCTAAGCTCTCACCTCAACGACAACAACCTCCTCTATCCCCTACAGTCCTGCTTCCGTCCCCTACACTCCACCGAAACTGCCTTACTTAAACTCTCCAACGACCTGCTAACCGCCAAAGCTAATGGCCACTATTCATTGCTCCTACTCCTTGACCTCTCTGCAGCCTTCGACACAGTCGACCACCCCCTCCTCCTCAAAAAACTACACTCCCTTGGCCTCAGAGATTCTGCTCTCTCCTGGCTCCCATCCTACCTGTCACAACGCTCTTTCAGCGTTACCTATAATGCTACCAACTCCCCCTCACTCCCCCTCTCTGTTGGGGTCCCTCAAGGCTCCGTCCTCGGGGCCCTACACCTTCTCTCCCTTGGCCAACTCAAACACTCCACGGCTTCTCTTCTCCATCTACACCTTCTCCCTTGGCCAACTCATACACTCTCACGGCTTCAACTACCACCTATATGCTGACGACACACAAATCTATCTCTCAACCCCCCACCTCACCACCTCAGTCTCCGCCCGAATCACACACCTACTGAGCGACATATCAGACTAGATGATGTCGCTCCACTTCCTTAAACTGACCCTCTCCAAAACCGAGTTTCTTGTCTTCCCCCCAGCCCGGACACCACCCCCCATTGACTTCTCCATCACATCCAACAATGCCACCATCAAACCCGCCCCGCAGGCCAGAGTACTTAGTGTCATTCTGGACTCCAACCTATCCTTCCAGCCCCAAGTCCAATCTTTAACAAGCTCATGCAGACTCCACCTCCGCAACATCGCCAAAATACGCATGTTCCTCACCCCAGAAACCACTAAACAGCTCATCCACTCCCTCATCATATCACGACTCGACTACTGCAACTCCCTCCTTACTGGCCTGCCTCGCCGCTGGCTATCCCCGCTTCAGTCGATCCTGAATACGGCTGCCAGACTCATTCACCTTTCCAATCACTCCATTTCCGCCACCCCCCTCTGCCAATCCCTCCACTGGCTTCCGATTGCGCAACGGATCAAATTCAAAATCCTAACACTGACGTACAAAGCCGTCCACCATACTGCCCCAAACTACATCACTGACCTAATATCCAAGTACCACCCAGCACGCACACTCAGCTCCTCACAAGACCTCCTTCTCTCTAGTTCCCTGGTCTCCTCCTCCCATGCCCGCCTCCAGGACTTCTCCAGGGTGTCACCCATCCTCTGGAACTCCCTGCCCAAAGCCATCAGATTATCACCTACTCTCCTCTCCTTTAGGCGCACCCTGAAAACCCACCTCTTCAGGGAAGCCTACCCAACCCCCTGCTAACTTGCCAACCTCCTCCACTCTTCCTACCACCCCATCCCCCACAGCTATCTCCTCCTGTGCCACCATCCCCTCCCTCCTAGATTGTAAGCTCGAAAGAGCAGGGCCCTCAATCCTCTCATGTTTTGCATTGTATTGTTGTTGTTCTGTCACATGTTCTGTACCCCTCTGTAGTGTACAGCGCTGAGCGAAACTATTGGCACCTTATAAATACTGTATAATAATAATTTAAATAGCCTACAGGGCACGCAAATAATTATCGGACACCATTTTCTCATAGCCTATAGTCTAGGATTCTCATATTTTACATGTAAGCTGAACCAGGATGAAAATACCATTTTCTCAAGGTCCAAATCGCTAAACATTCACTGCTGAAGTTAAACAGCAGTGAAAGGAAAAATGTAAAATACTATGGGAATCAATCTTTTGAGTTCGTGAATGCCTCTGCACAAAAAAAAAAAAAAACAAATAATAAAAGACTGCTGAGGTATTAATATATGGAAATTAATGAAAATATAATTATGGGGCACTTAAAATGTGACGGAGACCATTTTCTAGAGGTCCAAAGACCAATACAAAAATGATACTACAAACATAAATGTACGGACATCAATAAGTATCAAAATAGTAATTAGAATATCCATGATTTACATGGGAATAAAAAATCTAATAAAAAGAAGGCCATTTAAATATATCAAATTTATATACACTATAAACCATCAATAAAACATACAGTCAGGTCCATAAATATTGGGACATCGACACAATTCTATCATTTTTGGCTCTATACACCACCACAATGGATTTGAAATGAAACGAACAAGATGTGCTTTAACTGCAGACTGTCAGCTTTAATTTGAGGGTATTTACATCCAAATCAGGTGAACGGTGTAGGAATTACAACAGTTTGCATATGTGCCTCCCACTTGCTAAGGGACCAAAAGTAATGGGACAATTGGCTTCTCAGCTGTTCCATGGCCAGG